TTCGTGAGTATCTTTCAAAAACATTGACACACCCTAACATGGCCAGAAACTGCTTAGTGTTACCAATAATTTATGTGTATATTCAAAATTAGTAATATAAATTACAAAAATGTTGAGTTTCAATGTTTGTATGCTGCTGAGGTATGAAATCTCTTAAATAGAAGTAAATTCTTTCGGCAACAGGCATTTCAAACTATTTACTGAGTGTTTTAAACGCATTTGTCTTCCAGATACCATTTGGATGTGAACACTAAAATAAGTAAAATTAAAAATATGTCCTCGGATTGCTTTTAACAACTTCAGTGTGCTAGCCTAAGAAACTGGTTTTATTTATTTTTAATTTATTTATTATTAAAGACAGTAAAAGCCAATTGTGGCATGTGAGAGGCGAATTCAATCTGACAATGAACACGTTTTCATGAGTTTCAGAATCTGTCCTCTCTATTTTACTGCATATCGGGTCAATTGAGGTTAATATGATACAGGAAACAAAAAACCGGGCTTACACACTTCAAGAATTGTTACTTGGGTACTCCAAAATTAACCATAAAAGTAGGAAATGTATTCTATTATTAATATTCACTGTGTAACAAACACTCAAAATGTTATAATAATTAAGTCAAGAAAACTCTAAACTGAACTCTTAACTTTACTTTATTTATCCTAGTCAAAAACTGATTGGAAACTTATGACATTACTTCATATTTTTGAAGAGTTGATCAGGAAGAATTCATCCATCTTTCGATAAATGATTGCAAAAATATTAATTGCATTAAATAAATAATAATTATATATGCTATAAATAAATATGACACCTAGCCTCAAGTTTGTGGGACTATGATATGGTTGAGGGCACTAATGTGATACAGCTTTCAGGGGTATTTGGATACATTTTTAAAAATTAACATACAGCCAACAAGAAAGTAATTTTTTAAAATTGTTATTGTTTTAATATTTCTTCTCTTACACGGGAAGCCATAAAGCAACTGCTCATAACTAATATTTATGTTTTTGATCAATAGTAGTTTTCTATGGAATAAAGCGCAGAAAAAAATATAAAACAACTTTTTAACTTATCTTATAGTACAGAAAAAATATTCTAACTAATATCTCACTGCACAGCTTCTGATTTGATTTTTCACTGAAACCATACGAGCCATCCCTCCAACTCCAGACATCAACAGTTCCCCTTCAGCTGCCATCTTCTATTGCACTTTTAAGGCATTACTGTTAGAGAAAGAGAGAAAATAATATTATTAATATTAATAATAAATGAAAGAAGATGATAGATCCAACAGCAGCAAACATTGTTAGTGAAGAGTGGATTGATATTGAAAAGAAGAAAAAGGAAAAAAGAGCAAAGAAAAGAAGAAAGCCAAAAACAGGCAGAAAAAACTCTAAAGGGAATTGAGAAAACGAAAAATTGTTTTATCAGATAATAGTAATTTGGTTGTCAAAGATTTTATACCCTTGCGGGTAAGTGATGCAGGTGTGGAAGACATATAAAGACAAATAAAGTGGAAGAACAGTCAGGCATGAAATATGAAGAATTATTTAGAAACATAGATCACTGTGAAACTATATTCTTATTAAGATAAAGAATTGGTTGCAGCAGAATTTCTTACGAAGAAGATGGTTTTGCCTTGAAGATTTTGTCACTTTAAGTTGACATCTTAGATTACAGAAAATTTTGATTTTGAAAAGGAGTTGAGCGAAGAAAAGAAGCAAGCAAAAAAATTGGTAGAAAAGAAAACTTGAAAGGGAGTTAAGAAAAAGGATAATTTTTCTTGTGATAGAGAAAAGGAAGCAAGACATGGTTCTTTTATTTGTTGCTTTTCAAAATTTCAGTTTGACCAACTGTTTTTATTTGATGTTAATAAACATTTCAATAACAAAAAAATCCTTTAATTTTTATTGAAAAAAAATGGTTTTACATCGAGTATATTTATATATTTCTTGAATTTTCTTTTTCTTATTTACGGGTTTGCTTTTGTGTTTTTTTGTTTTTTAGGTCACATTTCAAATCTTTAATTTGACCGAATGTTTTCACTTGACGTCAATTAACATTTTATTAGCAAAAAAAATCTTGTAATTCATCAAATATTAACAGCGAACATTTTGTACTACAAAAAAACAAAGCATTGCATGTAACGATCGATCGTTGCCCCTCTGTCCTCTGCTTCAGGATCAGTAGTTTGAATAAACTATAGTTCGAGGCTTGTGCTTAATTAATGTACTTATTTCTTGAATGTTCGTTTCTTATTTAATAAATATATTTGTTACCTTTCATAAATTCAGTTTGTCCAACTGTTTTCATGTGAAGTCAATTAACATTTCATTAACAACAAAATATTTGTATTTCTTTAAAATAGTAGCAGTGAAAATCATGCTAGGACCACAGGAACCAAAGTATGAAATGAATTGATCACTTGTCATTCATCTCTCCTCCGCATCTGATTATGAGGATCAGTGGTGCAAATAAACAATAGTTTGAGAAAGGCATTTGAATAGTTTGGGAAAGAACTCTGCCAAGCAAGTTCTCTCGTGTGTTTGCGCAGTGTTTTTCAACTTGTGAGTTTTTCAATAAATTATAAATAATTTAACATATTTAATTCATTTTAATTTAAAGAATGTTATGAAAATTTTGTCTTCTTTAAAGTATGTTTCAAATATTAGTCTGTAGAGTTTCGTTTTCATTCATTTAACATAAATCATAATTTATTTTATTACATATTATTTATTAATTATATTAAATATATTATTAATAATTATTTTATTAAATAGATAATATTGATAAACACGGGTTTTGTAAAAGGATTATTTGAAATATGGTATGTTAGGTTTACATTTGAGTAATATTTTATTGAAATATAGTTGTTTTACTACAAGCATTTCACATTCAGTTATCTATCATTTGTTTATTACAGTATTTAACTCATCTCATAAGGAAAAGGTATGCATGAATTACACGTGAAGGGGAAAAATGGGAATTGAACATTACTTTTATTGAAAAAAATTTGTTTTACACTCAGCTTATACACAATTCTTTGAATATTCATCTTTAATTAAATTAATACATTAAATTTTTGTCGCTAATATGTTAGTGGTTTTACAAAAATGCGAGTCGCCTTTTTTTTAGTGTTCCGACGTCGCTAATCCGAAGACCCTAATGTTTACAAACACGCCATTAGGTATTTGAGTGTTAGAGCTACTTCAGTCCCTAGAGAAAATTTTTTTGAAGTGTTACTAGTTTTAAGTGATTTAAGGAAACTACTTGCACCTGAACATTTTTATGCACTGATATTCCTCGCTTCTAAGAGTTCTAAATTATTGTCTGCAATACTTTACTTTTAATTCCAAAAAGCTGTGAAGTTATTTATAATGTTCCTATTTTGGTGTAAAAAGTCTCTGAAGTTCCTATTTTAAATAAGAAATTTGCTGCCAACCCTCTGTTCAAGAGAAGTGAGGGCCCCACTGTGGATCAGGTCATTGCTTGGAAGTTACAGAATGTACATAACATTAATCGAAGCAGCTTTTATGTAGAAGATTAGCAAGAACAAGAATACTGAATAATACCTGTGTTCTATAACATGCCCAGTATATTCGATGAGAGTACAGTATCTTTATCACGAGAGTCTTGAGTCTAAATTAATTGCTAAACACAGAGCTCTGTCAAAAGAATGTAATCACATAAAAGTGATCCATAAACCTACTGTGGAGGCATTGGAAGATAAAGAATTAAAATAAAAAATCAGAACAATATTGGTGGGATGCTCTTTTAGAAGAAAAGATAAATGTATTTGAAATTGTTGTTTGTATGTATTGAAAAATTAACTGCAATATTTAAGGAATGATTGGAGTGTTCATTTTTGATGAATATTCTACCTTTTCATATTCACCATAATGAACATGTTTCAAATTTGAGAAGTAAATTGAATCAATGACTTTCCTACATTGAACTTGAATAGTACAGTAAAATCTGTCTAAACCGGAAAAATTTCTCCGGTCCATGAAGTTAAACAGCATTTTACACAGCATAAAATGGAATCTCTCCAATGCTGAAACGGAATGATTTTTCATGTCTTGCAGTGTGTGTGTGTGTGTGTGTGGGGGGGGATCTTCATAAAACTTAATTTCTGTGAATTAAATACAGTTGGCAGGGAGCCGCGAGATACTCTTAATGGAATGAATGCACCTGCAAGTCTAATTTAATATTTCTGTCCATGCGATACGAATTTTAGCTGGGTAGGCGCATAGTGGAAAAGGGCTTCAGCTGTTAGTGTAGAATTTGACTTGTTTCACAGCCTGATGGCCGGTGCTGCATTGGTCAAGGCCATGCGAAAGTATCAGAAAACATAGGACTCTGGGCTGTACGCATTGTGTAAAGAGTCAGTGAACAGTCTAAATGCAGCCACTAGGCAGTGAGGTTGTGTTTTTATGAGTTTCACAACCATTTTAACAATTGTTGGGGGGGAAACATTGAAGTGTAAATATTAAAATGTTTCAACGTAAGAAGACATAATTAAAATGGTGTTAGTAAGTTGGAAAATATAGTATTATTTTGTATACATATTGTGAAGTTTTTCATTTTAATTGTCAGAAAATGTGTAATATTCATTTATTGGTAATTTTTTCTATAAATATGTTACAAGATAATATATTTTTATAATTAAAATTAAGTAATCTAATTTACTAGTTTCAGAAGGGAAATATGTATATAATAAGTGTCCTCACACTGACAACCCTGCATAAAACAGAAACCTTTCCAAACCAGACTAGTTTTCTGTCCTGATCGATTCTGGTTTAGACAGAATTTACTGTACCAACTTTATTTTTTATTATTATAATATAAAATCAAGAAATTCATTGAAATTTTACATTTATGAAGTGATGGATGCACCCTTCGGAGCAACTCATGCAAACATGCTCAATGTATACTAATTTATTGCACAATTTAATAGAGTTGTGAGGCAAATGTCTTCATATAATACTGCTAGAAAATGCCCAGAAGTGGTCTAGTTTCTGGTGGTAATATGAAGGGGAAATTACATGTCTTCAAGGGTAAAGTTTTGTTTGATTTACAGTTAAAGTTCTTGTTTTTTGTGTTTTTATCCCTTCATTTAACCAAAAAATTATAATTTTGAATATACATGTAGCCCTATATTATTTCTGGAATAAAGCATAAAATGTTCGGTATTATTCATGTGCCAAAGTTAGAGGAGAGAGTAGGATTGGTAAAGAATGATAGCAGTAAAGATGGATGATGGTCACTTAAACACAAATTTTAAAAAATGACCCTTTTGACTTAGTTTATTTCCATGTCCATAAGAGAACATATATAGTGAGTTATAACAAATCCACAGGACATTGCAAGGTAGACATTTGTAATTGAGTTAAGAGTTCTTCTGTTTGCTCTTGATTAATATTCCTTTTGTCTTTTACACTTTTCTTCCATTGAAAGGTCAAGGGAATCACCTCGAGTACTCAGAAATTGTATTTTATTGTTTGGCTGGAAAATACACACAATGACACACCTATATTGAGTGTTGGGGGGGGGGGTGAAAATTACAATATATCTTTTACAAATTTCGTGGGTAAAACAAATGATAACTTGATCAAAAATTAATTTAGAAACGTAAGAATATGTCAGAGAAATATATAAAGGAAAGCATATGTACAAATTTATTGGTTACTTCCAATTTTAATCTACTTAAAGTTAGCAATTGTATTGGGAAGAGACACCCACTCAACAAAATACCCTTTTTTCTTTTTATATTATTAAAAACCACTAAATTTTTAAACCTTCCCTGTAACTATTTTTCTTTGGATCCTTTTAAACAACCAAGTAGTCGCCTCTGGAAGTACAAGTATTGTTATTAAGAATCTCTCTCTGGAACATTGTCATGTTATGTCGAGAAAGTTTTTCCTCCTGGCCCATATAGGGCTTGCATCTGTTCTGTCCAAAAGTATGATTTGCTTAACTTTGTTGTATGTCTGAAGAAATAACAATATATTCTCCTCTTATAATTATTATTAACTCCTTTTGTGACTGTCTTCTGATAAATGTATGTGATTTTGCTACTGAAAATGAGGGTTTCAGTTTATTAATGATTCTTTTTTGTTCATAATACATGTATGTTGGCTATTTTTTCATGAGCATGAGTATAAATGAAGGTATTATTTTAACTTTACTCCCAATGATTTATCAATGATAGGTTTGAATTGAACCCATTCAAATAATAAAAGATACATGGTTTCACAAGTGACTTTTTTCTTATCTNNCCCCTTAGTCACAAAATCATATAGTTGTTGAAAAGAAGAAATCTTAATTTTATCACTCAAGGTATTTTACAAATATAGAAAGGTATAAGGATCATTCAGATGTTGTGAGGAAGTTTCCTTATATCTCCAGCAAGCTTATTAAACAAATTTTTTTGATACAGCATTTTTACATGATTGATTCAACATACCGAAAAGTTAAGTACTGATTTGAATTGTGAATATTATATTCTCAATTTAAAGTTGCTAAATTTGTTCAACCAAAATGCATGTTGGGCCATAACTGCATCAGAATATTTCTATCATTCGATTTCTTCTATCTTTGCTTGTCTGTGTGTTGCAGTCAAGAACAACGCTGCATTTTCTGAAGATTCTGATTTTGTGAACCAAGGGTATGAATTGATGCCAGGTTATGACTTCATGTTTTACAAAACTCCCAACAATGAGGGTCTGTACTTGTGTCGCATTTGCTTGAAGACAGTGACAAATAAGTGGCATCATATGCGTTGCCATAAGCCAGAGAATGCAGTGTGTCCGTTCTGCTTTCAAGTGTTTACCCGGAAGGACAAATTGAAGTCGCACATAAAGACAAAGCATTATGCAAGAAGTAGTGAACCATTTATGCCGTAGCTTTTCTGCAAAAGCGAAATTTATTTTCTTGCAAAATAACATTTTTGTTTTAACTTAGGAATGAGAAAGAAACATGATTAAAAAGAAGGATAAAAGCATGTAGCACACATGCCTTTTAAATTGATTTCAGTGCAATTTGCACTGCATAATTTACTACCGTACTGCTTGCTAAATCTTACCTTGATAAACTTCTCCTTTGTCTATGTAACCTTCTGCTATTTGTAAATAATGCCATGTGTGTTCAACAACTGGTACTTGTCCTTCACTTTTTTTGTGCTCATTAAAATGAAATTATGAAATTGTAAAAATGAACATCAAAATGCTCTCAACTCAGTTGTAGTTGTTATATTTCTGTCTCTTGGATGTTTAAATTCAGTGGTAATATTGAAGAGTCTAATACTGAATGTATTTTGTTCTCTTTGTGGTCTTGTATTACATTCTGGTCTCAATTAGCGAACGACAGAATATTTTCAACTGTTGTTCTTTGCATAAAATTATTTCTTGTAGTACATTATATTTTTGTTAAAAGATTACACAAACAACAAAATATTTTAGTTCTCCCTGTAAGTTATTATTTGAAGGGAAATATATTTAAATTGCGTTAATAATATTAAGAGCTCATTGCTCATTATGCACTTTGTGATGCATAAAATTGGTACTTTTTGTTTGTTTGTTTTCTTTCACTATGCATTCTTGTTTAATTCAATCTTTAACATAAGACCTAAAAAATTGAACTATCCAAAATTTAAATTAACCGACACAGTCACATAAAATATGAAATTATAGAAATGTTATACATATATAGTAAATAAGCAGTGAGTTTTAGCTTCATAACTAACATAATGTTTTCTGTTAACATGTTTTTCACATACCAACACCAAACAACTAAAATTAAGAAATGAAAAGAGATTGTTTGATCCTTTTATTTTGGCGTGTCAATCTCAAGATTGGAATATATTGCATATTCTTTAGGTTTGTCATTCTTTTTTAGCTGTCATTTATTTCCTTAAAGCATTTTTTCTCTAATGTAATCTGTACTCACCCATTTGTCTGCAAAAGATCCAGTTCCAATGACAGATGTGCAAATGATGAAATGATGTTTCATTACCTAAAATTCTTTGTTTTGTCCTGTAACAAAATTACAGTACTTAATTGTTCATTTTGAAGTTGTTTTTGATTTCAGGATTTATACTATTTGAATGAAATTATTTTTAACTGATTTAGGTTGAGATTTTGAGTGAAATACATTTTGCTTCAAAATATAGTGTGTCAAAATAACCAGGGTTCTCTGCATTTTCTTATTTGTAGCAACCATTTTCCCTTTGCCCATTACAGTATATCACATTACTACAGCGTATTCAGTACAACACACTACCCATGGATACTTTGTGGTACTAAAGTTATTCTTCCTCCCTTTGAATATTGCATACTGTTATCTTACAAATTGACAAATTTCTAAACGTTGTTATATAACTAAGCATTCATTGTTTACTTATAAAGTGAATTTTGAATTTTAATTTAACTATTTTGAACATTACTAAAAACTAACTAGAAACAAGGTGAAATGAATTATTTTAAACAGCAAAAATGTAAAATAGAAGTTAGTTTCCTTAAAAGAAAACTGATTATTTTTTTGTTAGTGGTCTGTTATTATAGAAAATGTAACTTCCTTAATTGTTTTTTATTTTTATTGTGGGGCAGCACTCTTTTACGATGACCAGAATGTAGTACTCAGGATATTGTAATACAAATTTTTACTGATTTATGAGTAAGAATGATTTTTTTATCCAGTTAATAGCCCAGAGATTTATTTTTTTGTTAAAGTATTTGTACTTTTGTTAGCATCCAATGCCTGTATGTGGCAGAGATGTAAGACTTAAAATAAAATACACTGGAATTCTTTTCTAACTCCAAATTTACTGAATGTAACATTGATGTCATTCTAAAATTTCAGCCATAATTTAATGTAATATTAAGATTGAACAGAGCTGTGGTGCAATTAACTTTTTAATCAATCTGAAATTACATATATGTTCCAATACTTTCATAATTAACCAGTTCATCAGTTCATGGATGGAAAAGCATGGTTAACGATGGATCTTATTGGATTTTGAGAAGTCCAAGATCGTACAAATTCTGAGGACAGTTTCACCCCTTTAAAATAAAGATTGATTCTTGTAACTAAGCTTCTCTGATCTTTATTTTTTTCTCAAATTGTTAAATGGCATGAAGGCACAAAAGGACTTTGGCTGTTGGGTATGGTTGAGGTAACTCTGAAACAAGGTGGTGACTAAAATGTGTTTATTCTGGGAGGAAGGAGGGTGTAACACTTATTAATATATGTTTTCAGAAGGTTTTCATTTAAATACAAAATAACCTTTGTTTTGTTAGAAACTGATGTCTGACTATTTTAATTTATAAATCAATAATTAGTTGTGATAATTATTATAATCCACTTTTATATACCATGTTTGTAAAGTATTTATAGAGCTGTGAATACTATTGTTAGAACAGTTATTTTCCCTTTATACCAATATTTTGGTTGGTTGATTTTTGAATTTTCTGAGAGATGTGCTTTGATAAAATATATTGAAACAAATGAATTAACATTTCACTAATTACTTCCCTTGTCTCGATTCAATTTTGCCAAATAAAATTTTGTGGGTAAAGACAGAATGATTTCTAAGACTATTGATTGTGAGATGGTAAATTCTACAACGTTTTTAACACGAATTTCAATGAGATGAGTACAATAAAAATCTGCATACCGCAGGCAGTAATATCAAGGTCATTAGGTGTTAGCTGCACCTCTCTTAGCTATTTATTTAAAATTTTCTTGCTATAATTTTTGTATAGACTAATTGTAAATCAGTGCCAGGAGGTAAATAAAAACCTGTAGTGGTTTAATTAATCAATTGATCGAAGTAACTTTGATGAATTTGAAGATAGTATTAAAAAACATTATAACTCATTCTATTTTCAAATTAAGTAAAGAATGACTTTTAATTTCTTTGGTTCTAACATTATGTAATATTTGAAATTCTATTATTCTCTGCCATATGCATTGGCTCTTTATTACAAGTATTTATTCAGTATTGCTGATTATTGACTTTGAAATTACTGCTTAATTTAATTATTTTAAACAGATTTTGTATTATAAAGCATTCAAGTTAACTTCCCTTCATCATTTTCATTTGAATGATATTTCATGTAATATGTTCTGATATATTTTGTGAAGAACACAAATCATCTGATTGTTGTGAGTGATGTTCAAAAGGAAATATAGATATATAACACAAGTTGCAAGAATGCATACTTTGTTTTCCCTCCTTGATGCTTCAATATCACAGTAAGCAGTTATGAAAGTTGAACCAATTGTTTTCATTTAATTTTGAATAAAATGTCAAAGAATTATGGTAGGAAACCACTACTTTTCCTACACAATTATTAAGGCATGTGAGCTGTATTGCAGTATGAATTCTTGCTTGCAATTTTAATATTAAGTGAATTATGATTGAGTTATCTGTACAGTCCTGAATTATAATGCTAATCATTAATGTTAGTGGCATTTATGTTTTAAAAACAATTATATAAAGGGATTTTCATGCTTTTAGGAAAATCAATACAATAATTTATTTTCATGTAAAAAGAATATTGTCTCTACTTAGTATGTACAATTATCTGCATAAGTGTAAATGATCATAAATAAAATATATGATTTTAGTTAAATGCATTTTTAGTAAATTTTGTAAATATAACCTTTATGTTCATAAAATTTATGTTCGAATGTAGGAATTTATTTGTAGATGTATTAGATCATGTAAAATACATGCCGTGTTTACATTTCTAATTTAAATTAGATATGTAGATAGAACAGCTGTTTTTATTCATGTGACTATCTCCATTGGACGATTCATGTGTAGTCTTAGCACAAATTGCATAGTATCAGGGCAGGAAGAGGCGTCCAGGGCAAAGGTTGTGAATCTTTTGGCAACATCATTCACAAATTACATCATTTTCTCCATGCGTGACTGGCTTGATTTATCCATCATGGCAGAAAAGTTAAGTACCGATTTTAATAGAGTGTGGTATATTTTCCATTTGTAGTTCCCTATCCTTTTTTTTTTTTTTGCCCTGTGGAATGTACATCCACCCTTCATTGTATGCTTGAAATGTCACCTTACTGAACATATTGTAGAAAAGTAATGTCATCTTGTTTGTGTATGTTAAATTGTGAAATAGTAATATGACTGCTTGTAGAACTATTAGAGATGTATGAATCTTCTGATACCTATCTGATCTTGGAACTGTTCAGTTGGTATGGCTTTAAAAGACTCTTGTAATGGTCTCTTCTAAACAGAGAGTGAAAAAGATCACCTTGAACCAAATGGATTCTGAACTAACAACAAAGATGTATGTGAATATTCTACACTAAAGTCATGGGCATCCTTCCTTGTTTGTGCTTCTAGAATTGGTTTGCAAGAATCTTATCATTCTTCTTTCTTGTACAATTCTTTTTTCCCTTTGTTTCCCTTTTGTCATGTAATGATTTTATTGTAACTGAACTTCATTTTACACAAAGAATGAAGTCTGTTTGAAAAGTGGATTGCTTCTATTACAACTGCAGATGACCTCATATTAAAGGGGATGCCTCAGTTCATGTAATAATAAATACTTAACCACTTGAATTGTTTTGTGCTTAGATAAATTTGCAGTCATGATTAGTGTGTAAACGTCTTTTCAGCAATGCACTTTCATTTGACTCAATCATTGTTATTTTTGTTTCAATGAGAAGCATTTACCAAAGACTCTGTTGATTGATGTAACATTTTTGAAATGAAATTAACATTACAAGTTCTGAGAAACAGATAAGCACTTCTATGTTTCTTGTTTATAATACAATCATAATGTGTTTACCATGTGAAAGTTGAGAACTGTTACATCACTCGTCAAGAGAATTTGTTAACAGTTCTCTCAGAACTTCACGGTAACACTAGTTGGAAGTGGAACTCTGAAGATGGATTGATTCCAACTTAAGAATAATTATTTTAGGAAGATTTGCATTAAATAAATCACTTTTTTTTATTTATTTCTTTTCATATTTTGCTATTATAAGAATTTAAAAGCTTTCTTTTGTGACAAATACTGTACTTCTTTCCTTTTGCAGGCTCCAAATCCTGGCACATGAGGCTTACCTTTGACAAGCTACCAGGATACACCAATCTTCATCGCTGTAAACTATGTGGAAAAGTTGTTACGCATATTCGTAACCACTATCATGTACACTTCCCAGGTCGTTTCGAATGTCCACTCTGTCAGGCGACTTACACACGCAGCGACAACCTTCGAACGCACTGTAGGTTTAAGCACCCAATGTTTAATCCCTTCACAAGGAAGTTGGAAGCTCCCCAAGATAATGTAGATGTTAAGCCATCATTGTCTGTAAATAATACAACTGAGAAATCGTGATTCTTGGCATACTATTCTTTATACCTGTTGTTGCTCTACAGAGAATATATGATAAATTATGTTTGTTGAATAGACATATATGCTGGTTTGTCCAAAACGGACAGAGAAGTTTTGTTATTGTTATTTTGATTGATGGTAATGTATATTAAATATGGTGCTGTTTCTTTTGGGCATGTTGACTAATTTTAATTCCTCAAATTATGTTGGGACTTAAATATCACAAACTGCATGTAAATTTACGCTCTCCCAGAGGGTGGCGTGCTTAATAAAAAATAAGGTTGAAACGAGGAAAGCAGGAATGGATACTTGTGTAAATGTCCAGACTTGCTGTTGGGTACTCATGGAAATAGGTGAATATGTGGTAATACATAATATTTATTTTAAGACAGAATTTGATTTCATTGTTATAATTCTCTTGTTTGTTTATGACTACCTTCAACTTTGTGGCATGTCAAAGGTTTGCCATTTCTTAATGTGATTTGTTAATTTAAATACTAAAACTTACTATTTTACCTTTTACAAGTAGTTACAGTGACTTGAAGGCCAGTCTTAGTTTTCTGATTCTCTGTTTTGTTGTAACCAAACAAGAACCAAAAGCTCTTATTTTATTTAGGTTCGTATTGTAAAAGCAAGCATTATTTGATGTTTTGACTTCAGAGAACCTTGTGGATTCAAAACCTACAAGAAACTGTGACTTAAAACAAGTTTTCAAATCTGCACCACATAATACATGAATTGTTTTATTGTTGTGGTTTTGCTAACAATCCATGTTGCAAATTACTAACATATCCAATAGTGACTACTGCTCATTTATTTTCAAATATTTTTTTAAAATATTCATATAAAAATTCATATTTATGTTATGCTGACAGTGAAGTGGTTAATGGGTGTTCAGTTGGTGGTCAATACCTCTGAATATTAAAAGATATATTTGTTGTATAATGTGCAAGTACTTTACTCCAATTCTCTGGGGGATGGGAAAGATCAGGTGCTTAGAAGGCTAGGCCAGGTAAGTGCAATTATTGTAAACCAATTGAAGAATGATTTTGTGAGAGATTTAATATTAGGATTTAGAGTCTCTTTCAAAAGTGATAAAATGAAATAAAATAAAATACATTAAGTCACAAGAAATGTAAATAGCATCAAATTATTTTTTTTAATTCGGTAGAAGGAAGACAATACGGAAATTTCCATATATTCCTTATTTTTTACCAAAATTATGATACATATTTTTGTTGCCTGTTTTTTATATTTAGATCAAATTGTTGATGCACAGTTTATCTAGTAATTGATAAAGTGCATTTGCATTTAATATACGAGAGGCATTTAATACGTGAAAGTGATTGAGATCTTCTAAGTACTTTTTATAAAAATAAAAGGATTACTTTTAAAAAGTAATAACTGTTTTATTTATTTTTGATATTTTACTTCTTATTAGTTGAATGGAATTATGTCTATATACTCTTGTTATAATGGCTGTTTGGGTTTTCAAAATTTTATTTTTATGATAAAAGAAGTGTGACTTCACAAATAAATATTTATTGGTCTCTGGGGTGCCAGTACTGTCAGCAGTATATATTGTTTTATTTACTTAAATATTATATACTTTACCCATTATGTAATATGTAAAATTATGTCCCTGAGGTAACATTTTATAAATGGATGAATCATTAATAAGGATAACAAACCTAATACATAGGCTAAGGGACTCGTGAGGAGATGGTTAAAAATTGTATAGTATTTTATAATGTTAATTATATATTGACTAAATTATGACTATTATATCTTTGGAAGAATGATGCAGTAATCCATGTTAAATTCTTTTGCATTGTAAATAAAAATATTCAATGTAAGCAGGGTAAGCAATTCAAATATATCCTTTTTCAAAAAACTAAAGACATATATAAATATATGTATAATGTAGGCACTAAATGGTATCATAGGGATTTTTCTTGTGGAAAGATGAATATAACAAAATGTTAATTGTTTGGTTGTTTATTTAGAGAAGATCTTTATTGCTTAGAATACGAGTATATCTGGAATGTGAAGACAAATGTGATAACCAGGAAGGGTGCTATAGCATAACTGGAAATGTGTGCAATAATTGCTAGGTTTCATAAATATTAAAGATATTTAGAAGGTCCTTTATATTTTGTAAGAACATACAATTTATTTAAAGGTTCTTAATACTTAATCAAATGTAAATCCTTGTCTTCTCCATATTACAGTTAGCAAAAGTAAGAATTTTACAATTCATTGTATCCTATCAGCAGTTGGATTTTGTAAAATGTATGAAATTGAATAATTGCCTTTTATGGAAGTGGTTCAGAGTCCTCTGCATGCTACCAAAAGAGCTTTACAAATGAGCATATAAAGTTAAATGAACACTATGGCTTTTCAAATTAGATGCAAATTCTAATCGAATTCAGTGCTGCTTTTATGTAGCTTTTTCAATATATTCACTGAATTGTATTTTTTATGAAAGTATATTATTTTGTTTCATGACATAAATACAGAGAGTTATTTATATATTGTTTAGAAATTAGAATATTGTTACAATGTTACATATTAATATACTAATGGTAAGTATTTATGATGGATGTATTCATTAAATTATGAAGCTCCCAATTGTGCTAGCATTTATTACAAGTACAAGCATTGTACTTTGAAAGGGAGAAGATATTATGTAACTTGCCTTTTATTGAGCTTACTTTAAAGTTTGCGTAACTTTTAAATGTTAATTGTATTTTATTATAAATACAAAAATATATATTCATATTAATCTTGCATAGAAAAAACTAATATGGGACTGACTTGTTCTTTTTGTTGTTGTTGTTTTTTGGTAAAATTGTCAAAATGGCTTTCTGTATGGTTAATATTGTTCTGAAAAATAATTGTTTCAATAACAAAATTATATACGTATACTCCATACAAACACTTAATTTTAGAACTAGCATTTCATTAATATCATCAATGCACATTGTATGTTTTATTGTACTTACCTTATTCAGACATCTAATGAATGGTGTAAGCAAATCAAGTGTGTTTTTATTTCTTCAGATCCTTTTGTTTTCTTTGTCCTTTATTTTAAAAATGGGATGTGTAACCAACCTTCACAATTCCATCTTTTCAGTTATACTTATAATAGTAAAATGCTTGAGTGGAGAAAATGCATTCTTTTTTTATGTCATAAAGATTTAAATTAAAAACCTGTTTTGCTGCATTTATAGATATACAATTTTGAATGAATTTAGGATACCTACTGTTCCTGAGAACATTTTCTCTCTGGTGAACTTATGTAGATTTTAGATTATGTAAGGTAATTCAGTTGATGTGAAAGAGAATCAAAATAATTCTTCAGAGATGAGTTTTGAATTTTGTGTCAACATTTACTTCGGTACACATTTTGAGATTGTATCCAAGTTTGCTGGTCATTTACCATATTTCATGAATATATCTTTGTCTCATTATTTAACTTTGATATTTATGTTCTTCATTGTGGAATGTGAATGTTGATAGAAAGAAATATCTCTTTTATTGTTCTTTGAATTGCAACAATAACATAATTATGATGTCCAGATTTTCAGCGTTGATATTCCATAATTTTTTGAGCACCTAAGTTTGGTTTTCACGTCAAGTATGTCTGATGAAAGATTCTTAAGAAGATATTTATGTGCTGGTAACAGAAACCTGAAGTAATTCCTCTATATTAAAAAATTGTGGAGATAATTGTACTTGCCTAGTATAGAAAAATGTTTGTAGTATACTGCGGTTCCCGGCAGACTTAGTTCTGCTCTTCATTTCCCTCTTTCTTCTTTCCTCTGCCTTTCTCTCTCCATCGCTCTCTTCGTCTCTCTAGTCAACTGACATCAAAATTAACAGCACATCAACATTCTGGGTAAAAAACACGAAGAAGTGTCAACTTCATGGAGATCCATCGCACGGTTTCAAAGATTACGGCTCTTATAACGTCCGTTTTTAAATATAAGTATAGAAAAAGTTATTCATAGGTCAGACATATGTATTAACCCGAATATAAGGCATGGTTTTTCCTAAATACCTTAGTCCAAAAATACTGGGTTATAATATACTACTTATATTCCCAGATTAAGCCTATTAGTGTTAATATTTTTTTAGTATTAAAGTTTTGTTACTGTCATTCTTTATAACAAAACTCAAAAATGTAACAATAAACTGCACTACTCGCGGTAAAAATATCACGAGTATCTACAAAACGTAATTATATTTTTGGCATCCACTGCAAATTTGCTGGGCAATACAAACCGATATTTTTGAATGTGCTGATAAAAAGAGAATCTCAAAAGAAATGTTACGTGAAAATGGATGCTGGATTTTGTTACATGATATGGGTTCAACGAGGCCACGCAGAATTTTGGTTCGAGGCCAGTGAGTGCGAATCTGCATTTTGAACTGTTTAAAAATCAGATGCCATTAACAAGTGCATGACTGATAGAAAATCTGGTGGCAGAAGGGAACGTTCTTAGGTGGTGTCTGATGAAAGACTATAAGCAATGCAAATTCAGTGCACAAAACTTTCAGAGAAGCCTAAAATGTCTGAAGTTGTTGTAACTTGGAAGGAGTTTGAAAAAGAAAGAAACTAGTGAAGATGATTGAAGTACAGACAAAAAACATGATTAGGGTGATTTTAGGAAACTAGAAAATGATAGTTCAGCAATAAGTCTTAACATTCTCATGTACAAGGCAATTTTCTAGTCAATGAGATGATTAGCAATTTTATTTTGACTAAATAGTAAGAATTAGTTTAAAAATTTAAAAATTCTCAGGAGGCTTCTTCAAAATTAAGGGGTGGTCTTATATTCAGAGACAACTTATTTTCGGGTAATTTTGGTAAAACATCAGTGATGGATGCCCACTTTTTGAAGATTCAATTGCTAGACCAAATTGAGTCCTAGAACATAACATAACACTGCAGCAATGGAAACGCACTTTTCAAAGACGATTGGAATTCTAAACCATATAGAATCATTGTCAAGTTAACAATAGACAATCAATAGATATATGAACTGTAATTATTTTATTATGCCAAAAACATACAGGAAATACATTACAAGCTAGTAACAAATGCAATGGCATTTTTTCATCTTAATTAACAATGGGGAAGGGCAATGTAAACAAAGGGTACATTTGTATCAATATGTTTTTAAAATGTCAAATTTTCCTAGTAGTTCCCACACAATGGCTTCTTCTGTTTCAGAAAATACCAAAGTCATGTAGATGAAGAGTATTGAGAGTTTGTTTTTAACTTTCCAACCCCATCTTACACCAACAATCTTCTCAGAACTCAATTGAAAGCACATTACAATTTGTATGTGCTCTTGATATCTGCCTAAAATTCAAGGTGCTATCTGTTACTAATGTGTTGTAGAATGTTTAATCCTTTACTGCCATATATTCCAAGCACATAGAGTGTTATTTTTTTTTATGCAATAAATATTACATATATTATAGTGATACTATTGCCTTAAGAAGTTCTTTACATTGCACTGAGGATTGATATTTTAAAGTTTTATTTACTTACTTTTTATCTTCTATAATATTAGCCTTTTTCATTTTATCAATAACGTTGTGTACTACTGTCTGCATTTTCCAGAAGAAAAAAACATCCAATGGAATGGTTGGGTGTCCATAATTCCTTTTGAGCAGGGCCATTTTAACAGCTTTTGGGGGGCCCCTATTCTTATTTTCACCCCCAACCCCCGGTTTAAAGACAAGTTTGTTACAAAAAACTAAACTTTTCATCACAGAGTGACGTTCTTGCATCAACCAGTAAAATTCCATATTATAAATATTATCCAATAATGCTCGACACATGACTCCATTATGTCAATTTTTTGCTTGTAGTTTAATCATACATCACTTTCTTATATGGTTTTTATTTTAGTTTTTGAGAATTTTGTAGTTTATTATTATTATTATTATTATTATTATTATTATTATTATTATTATTATTATTACTTTTAGAAATATGGGCCTAGGCCCGTGTGTTTACATGTGCTTTTGAGTCTCTTCAGCCATTGCCATCATATTTTGTGTGATGAATGTGATATATTTCAAGCCAATGATTGAATCATTTTGCCAGTCAGAAAAAGATCCTTAAATTAAATGTTCCCTTACAATACAATGTGAATATGAGTCATATTTGAGTCAAAAAAGAAAGGCAAACTAACAAACTAAAAAAATGAATTTTATTGGTATTACTTTCTTGTGTACATTGTTTAGAGAAAATTATATTTTTACTTTTTCTCCTTATACTATAGTGTAGAGTGGTTGGAATTACCTCGAGTATATAATTTTGAATTTTTGGTCGTAAAAACCGATTTTAAATTTCTTTTAAACTGTTACTTCGCATGCATAGCAGGATTAAGGTCGATTAGTCCTGTCTTCTTTTCATGTCTTAATTTTCAAAACATGAATGCAGAAACAAAAATTAGACTGCATAACATTGTATCCAAACCAACCCTTATTATATGGTAGTGAAACTTGTGTATTAAGACAAAGAGACAAGCAAAAGATTAAAGGAGCCCAAATGAAGAGCAGTATTAAAGATCTCAAGATAGGATAAGAAATGAATACATAACAAAAATACTTAAAATAAAGAACATTTTCCAGGGAATAGAGAAGCACCAAATAAAAAGGCATAAACACAAAAAGAATGAAACCCAACAGATACCCAAAAATGACAATGAGATACAAGCCACAGGGAAAAAGAGAACCAGGGAGACCAAAGAAGAGGTGGACAGACCAGAAACACCTCAATAGCGGTTGAGGAAATACTGGAAAGAAGGAACGCACCAAGTGACCTAAAACTCAAAAGTTCATGATGATGATGATAGTGCTGTTCTAAAGATAATAAGATTGCGGCTGGTGGCAAAGAGATACATGCAGTTTTGTTTCCAAAAATTAGAATGGATGAACGGATAAATCTCATAAAACTTAGTCACATTAAAAGCTTGTGAGCTTAAACTCAATAAACCATCTGGAGTAAGATCTAGTTGTGCCATTATAATATCTTAATTTGGGGAGGATTTTACATGAAATCCCTGTGACATTTTCAAAAATTTTCTGAAATATGGTTGCAAATTTTGGGAGTTAAAGAGCGGAATGTGCATTTATATAAAATTATATGGTATGATTCTGATATTCATTAAAACCTCTGAAAATTTCAAAATTGCGAAGTTTAACTATTTTTCAAATCTGTCTTAAACTTCCATTATTAAAGCCAATGCTATTTATCTCTCAATTTCAGATCTCTAAATGTGCAGTGAGAAGTTGTTGAGTAATTTTTTTAAAAAATATGTAAACAAGGATTTCTCAAAAACAACTGTAAT